GATAGATGTTTGAAATAGATACTTTATTGATTGCACAAGGGAAATTGATGTGTTACAGCAGCACGATGAAGGGTACAGTCTACAATAAACAGCACAGTTAAAAGAAGTGCCACAGGTGCCTGGTAAGGGCCTTATACTATGAGATAGTGCAGGAATTTATATATTTACAACAGTGATAAAAAACAAAGAAAAAGAAAAATGATCTTAGTAAGACTGACATTTGTAAGGGAGAAGTGCAAATTGCATTAATAAATAAGATGTACAAATTAAATCGTGAGAAAAAGCTGCATGAAGGTATAATACAAAAATATGTTTGGGACCATACGCCTGATAGGTGTGTTCACCTGTCACAGAATGAAGAGTTATTATACAACTTTACAGAGAGTGGTAGGAATGAGTTCCTGCAGCGTGCTTTATAGCAGCGAGGTTGATGTAGTGCAGAGACAATCGACTAAAAATAGCTTCTGACAACAGAACAGTACCTTGTGTGGCAGATCCACCATTAGTTGTGTACCTGTGTGTGTGTGTTAACAGGTCAATAAATGGAGCCCTTTGCAAAGTGCTTTGCAAACTGCCAATGGGGAAAAGTGTAATGTAAATATAGTCCATTTATCTTTACAAGGGGTGTGCAACATGGTCAAGGTGAATACAATAGAGAGACCTGACTGACATCATTTCAGTGAGACACATGACCGCTGCAGGTCTACACCTGTAGGTCAGATACCCTTGTAACTGTTGGTGTTTGTTCAATTTCCAAATGGAAAATGATAACAGTAGAAATGCTCTGCTCGTACACATTAAAAACATCTCACAAGGTGCATTACTGAGTCAACCAAGAGTAGAATTATTAAGATGATGACAATGATGAAAGTAAAAACAATTCAGAGAATCTACACTGTAATACTACACATAGCATAACTTGCAAAGGATGTGTGTGAACTGCAATATTAGAAACGCCTTCTTGTATAGCATAACTATAAGTTTTGTATAGGCTTATATATGTAGTTAATGCATTTTAAAATAGTAGGTTTGTAAGTTTATCTAAAGCTGTCAGGTGGTTAGGTCTGCTGACAGCAGTCACACACCTCTACAGTCACATGACAGTGATGTCATTCGTGAGCACATGTTAACCCGTCCCCATTCGGCCAAAATCCTGTTCGGACTTTATGAGCTGCCCTCTTTTGTAAACACAGCATGCTTTACCCTTGGCCCACTGTGCGCAGTATGACATAGTGTCACTAAGCGCTGTTATGAATATTCGACTGGAAAGCGGTGTATTTGTGAAGTTTGTCCTGTAAGTGCACTCTATGAATAGAGTTTGCATAACATTATAAGCACCTACAGATAGAAGAATAACACCGATGGTCTCTTCATCGTGGCAGCCGTTAGCGGGTGGGATATGTTAGGGAGCAGGTGAACATTTTGCCCTCAAAGGTGTGTTAGAAGCACGAAAAACTGCAAGCGTAACGATTAGCGTGAGTTTGACGAGCGCCAAACTGTGACTGTTTGGAGATTGAGTCAGAACATTTCCAAACACTGCAGCTCTTGTGGGATGTTCTCAATCTGCGGTGGCCGGTGTGGGTATCTATGAAAAGTGGTCCATGAAGAACAGTGGTGAACCAGA